GTTGGGAATCAGATGGGAGAGGTGAAGATTTCTATGGGGATGCTGTGGGGTATGAATAGAGGAGAAAGATTGATCGAACGAAGTGAGAGAGGTTGTGGTAGGGCATTACATACTACATGCTCGTGGGGGTTTTTTTCTCCTGCCCTTTGTCCCCGGAGAACGATTCTTATTAGCACTAGCAGCAGAAACATTTCAGATGACTGTCGTCGGATACAAATAAATAATGGAAGGAGAGGTTTAATGAAGTGTTTCTTATCATAAGGGTGAGATCATAGTCTCTTGGGCGGGTTGGGGGGTATGGGGCTATGCGGAAGGGGGGGGCCGAATCGTCAAAGGATCATTGGACCCTGGAATCTAGGCTAAGGTGTAACAGAAGAAGGGCAGAGAGAAGAAAATACACATTCTGATATAGTGAGCTGGGGGATATGAAAGCAAGGTATTCCGAGAGCAAGGAAGGTTCGGGGGAGAGAGGGAGAAAGGAGAGATTGTCGCATTGAGTCCCCAAACTTCCTACTACTACCAGGATAATAACACGGACCACCAGAGTTTCTTGCACTTGTCTTGTTACTGCCTCTACTTCTCCGATATCCGTATTGAAATCCGGCTCAGGACACCGCACCTTACCGGGTGCGAGAAAGTTGACCCTAATCTCGGGCCCTGAAGCGGTAGTCGAATGTGTGCTGTTCATTATCGATATTTTGGCTAAAAATATTTAACCTCTGCAAGGAGAGTGTACGCTTCGAAGGTATATGGCTGGTAGGTTATTAAGTCGCTGGGAAGGAGTAGCGGTGGGTTATATGTGAAGAGAATATCTGCCAAACAGCTTGAGTTGTTCTGTTAAATGGGATCCGCTAGTTACACTGGCTATGATAGGCGGTGGTAAGAATCGCAATAGCCTGTGGGTAGATCATTGGGTGTTAAGAAACTCTGGCTACCATTTGCTTTCTGGGTCTGTGGCTCGCATGTTTCCTCTTCGGGCCAAACGGGGTTTTTCAACTTCCCAGCCAAGCCTCGCAATTGGGCCCGGATTGAGATCGGGTCTAGCTGGACCGGGTTGGGTCATCCAGGCGGCAAACCCGGGTAGCCCGAAAAAACTCAAAAGAAACCCCAAATAAATTAACACTTCTGTTCATCAAGTCATATAATATCACTCATATATTCTGATTTTAAACAAAAGTGCTGTGAACCCCAGGACTTGCAGGACCGGAGTTCACTATTTAAAATCCACTGGAGTAGGTATCACTGCATTTATTCTTTTGTTAAAGTTTACCAACATGCTATTATCCTAGATGGTAGTTGGAGTATCCTATGTTGTCGAAGTGGGCAATCAGTATCTATAGCATACCGGCAATGTCAGCTGAACCGGAAATAATGTTCTCAGGCAACAAATGAGCGATTAGTGATTCGCGACATTCCCTTAGTTCGGGCATTGTTCGGGTACTTCAGTGTCTCCGAAGCTGGCAATCAATGGCGGGAGTGGGGGGGAATCTCTGAAAGTGTTTAGGAAACTCATTTCCGAGAATAATTCGTCCTTTTTAAGCAGTTTTCTAGATATTTCTTGCTTTCCTTCATCCAGTTCACTAACTCTCGTACCACTCTCATCACCTGTTTTTTTTTCGAGAGAGAGTCAGTGCAGTTTGAAGGTCTCTCAAGTACTAAAGTTAAAATAATTGAGTTCTTTTAAGTAGAATTGGATTAATCCCTGCTCTCGAATAGTTTGGGTTTTCCGGGTGGACGGGCTTTGTTTGGGTCGGGTTGGGTTCGGGTCGGGCCAGCCATCGTTTGGGCCGGGGCTGGGCCGGGCTTTAGAATTTACGGGCCGGGCCGGCCCGTTGCGAGGCTTGTTCCCAGCCTTGTTTATTCTTTTGTTTAGAGTAATTCGCGGTATCGTACTGTATGTTGTAAGTTGTTTGTGTTGTTGTGTATGTACGGGCAGCAACCCCGATGGTATTGTGAAGCTAAAGGATAGTGATCGTGAGGGTTTGGAGACCTAAGGGTCAGAAGAGATTGTGTTCTCACATTGTGTTTGCTCCTGTATTTAGCCAGCTCACTCACACCTGTGGGAAAGAACGAAGTTCCATCTACCACACCTCCACATCCGTTCAAAGAAAACCAGTATTAACATCGGAGCTCAACAGGGTCGTGGGTAATTAGGTACGCGTTATAATTGGGATACTGCACATGCTGATAGTTGGGCTATCATATCCCTCCGCGGCCTTTGACACCCTCTGCTCGCATTTCGCATGATAGAAGGGTCGACGATATCACCGGTAGCAAACCTAGCTGTAGTGAATAGACAGAGCCTTTGATAAGGATAGTGGAAACACCTCTCTGGGTGCATACTCAATCACAGTTTGAGCAATATAAGAAGGCTCCCGGATACCTATAATTTCCTCGATAGTCCGCTTCTGTCACCAACACCGCTGAGGAATGTTTGAACAAATAAAATACCATTCCGGCACAATCTTCTGCCGATACACCTGCAGGAAACATGGAAGCCCGCCTGAATGTTGGGACCTGGTGATAAATTTCACCGTAACTGCCTTTAGCAGTCTAGTTGTCTGATGGACCTTGGAGTTAAAGTTTCAGGGCGCCCTGAATAGTAATGGGGGGGCATACAAGTCCTACCTATAGTATTTATTCCTGGCGGGACGGATCACCTTCCCCGAAACAGGAGCTTCCGAGTTTTCCTGGTGAGTGGTCATACCCGATTTCCGTAGCCCTATTATTGGTTACGCAGCGGGGTTTCAATACTATCGTTGCTATGTTGCCTACTCGCGTACGTTTTTTCCCCCCCGCTAATTCCAATTTGGAAAAACTATAATAATCGAGAATGATGCTGAGACAGCCGGAATTTCCTCATGTGGATTATGGAGGAGTAAAACAGCTGGAATACTCCCACTCAGCCTTCGGTTGAGGCGAGTTAAAAGGAGTGCGCAACAGAGCTTACTAGGTGAATCAGCTCTAGATTCCTAGCGAGTTTCTTAACTATTTCAGCCTTTTCGGAATTGCACACTTGTTTTTTTAGTATGGAGTGGTATATCTTATACGCAGGGGCCACCCGGTAAATAACATTAACTTTGCTTCGAAATTGTGTTGCTCAAAGTTGGATTGTGTGACTCTGGAGTGTTTATGGGAGGCTTGCGTCGTTTTGCCTTGAATTGAAAAGCACAATTTTGTAAAGGTGTTGGTTGCGGAGTGTCTATATGGTCATCACAATACGCCCAGGGATAGGAGGGAGGCAAGTACTCCTTGATGAGTCGTAGGGGGCAGCGGCCTTTTTGCTGGAGAGGAGCAGGGACGACCGATTTGGGACAATTGATCTGAGAGCTATTATTCGATAAACTATCAAGAGCGCCCAGCCAACCTGGTTGAGGCGAAATAACGAAAGCGTCACAACAAGTGAGCGTGGGGGCTCCCGGAATTGCAATGCTTTAGGATAACTCTCCGCTGCTTACGATAGAGTGAAAAGAGAACTTACCCCGCCCGGTCATGTGGCTAGACATTACCACTTCAGGCGTGCTTGGCTCTGGATGTGGATGAGACTGAGCAGTGAAGGTAAAATACGACCGGAAAAAAAAAAGAGGAAATCCGGAGTTGTCAATTAGGGTTCGAATGAAAAGTAGAGGAGGTGCGGAAGAGTGGAGGATACTCCTGACACACAGATTGTTAGTGAGCTGGATTCAGACACTTGAACTTTCGGGGATTTCTCCAGAAAGGATTTGGAAAGAAAAAGAAAAAAGGAAAGAAAGAAAGTAAAAAAAATCGGAGACAAAATAATTGAGCCTTTGATTGTGGATAGTTCTGACTTATCGGTTTAGCCCTCCCACTTTCCGACTCTATGGAGTTTCATAGAGGTAAGAGCCAGCGAGCTGAACTTGCAAGCCTTGTCATACTAGAAAGAACCGATGCGGGGTCCAACGCCCAAAACAGCCCATCTGCAACCATACCCCTGCCAATCCAATTTGAGCACAACTGTGCTCCACAAGCATTAACGGGGTTGGCTGCCAAGGTGCAGTGGCAACTAAGTTTTGTACCTTTTACTAGCAAGGGAGCCTCGGCTAGCAGGCATAGGCGAAATAGGAGATTTTCATCACGGATTTGGTAGCGTTCACTGAAAATTACCTACTTGGCGGCAGATACCCCTGCTACTCGAGCACCCTTGCTAGCAAAATATACAAAACTTAAGCGCTTTTCGTTCAACTAATGGGTTAATATCTGTGCTGGCAGGGCTGCCGCATAATAGCCTTGTGTGCTGGCCTACGCCTCATTTCTGTTGAACTACCACGTATCATACTAGTACGATAGTTCGACGGCATCGGAGTGAAGAGTGGGGTATCGATGAAGTCGCAGGCGCCGGTGGGCGGTAGATAGGAGCTTGTTTGCCTTGCCGTTGGGCTATGGGCGTTTTGTTTGCGATTCTCGGTGGGGGAAGCTTGGTTCGTGAGGCTATCCGTTGGGTGTGTCGTAGCCCGGTCTGTAGGGCTGTGGAAGACCCCGCGGCGAAGGGAGCCTGTTGGAGCACTTTGGGGAGTTTGGTATGATATTTTAGGTGAAGGGCTACCGTTGTGGTGATATATGTTATACTGCCGTGGCCAACTGTACTAAGGATAGAATATCAGTTTTGAAGCTGATATGACCCAATGGGGTGGGAAATGTCACTGTTATAAGTGGGGTAGATAATTTCTTCATTCATTACAGTATTCATGTAATGAGAGGGGCAAGGAAAAGTTTAGCAAGAGGTTCCAAAAAAAAAAAAACAGAACATACGCCATGCTACCGTGTTGGAAGGTGAATGATCTCTCGCAAATACTGTAATCTCGGTAGAGGAGGTGCTTATAAAAACCAGGGCCAAGTTAAAAAAAAAGAGAGAACAAACAAAACTGGAGCCAAAGCCACTCCCTTCCCTCCCTTATCCCCAATCTTGATTGCCACACCCTGCGATCGGTTCTTCTATCCATTCCCGACCCAGGCTCGTAGCTCACTTATAGCACGGAGCACTAGTAATTCTCTCCGTCCGGGGAGATGTAATACTCCTCTTCCCCCTCACCATCCATGATCAACCTCCCATCACCCCCTCCGCCCCCTCCCCCTCCCAGTCCAGGAATCCTCCCATTAGTCCTCCTCCTCCTCTTATCCCCTAGATCCCTCTCGGGATGGCGCACCTTGTAATGCCTCCTGACTGCAACCACCGCCGAGTTCCTAGTCTTGTATGTACCACAATTCCCACAGAACGGGCAAGACCGTTTCCAAACCCCACCCCTTTCTTCCCTGACTTCTGGCGAGGTCTCAGCCCCCTGTCTCTCACAGGCACCGCTCCTCTGGTGCCTCTTTAGCTTCTGTGCCCCGGCGAACGTGCTCCCGCAGCGGGGACACTCTGTGCGCTTCACGCTCTGCGGCTTCTCCTGAGTTGCGATGAAGAAGGACGAGCTGTCGCCCACCTTGACTGCAACCTTGGCCGGCGACTCGGTCGGGTGTGCTGCCGTGATCTCTACGCCTGGAACGCGGGTCGGGAGCGGTTGTGGGGTCCAGTCTGTCGGCGTCTGGGGAGGGATCGTCGGTTCAAAGCAGACGTTAATAAATACTGTAGTTGATGCCGGGTTGTGACGGCGGGAGCTCTGGGTTGGCTGTGGTATATGCGGGGCTTGGTCTTGACTCCTGTTTGGTAAAGTTGTTACTGCGGCGAGTGGGTTTCCCGAACGAGGACCACATGGAGGCATATTCACAGGTTGCGGATGGTTTTGGTGGGTTTTGGGGGATCTTCAGGGTTTTGGAGGTTTTCGGAATTTTCGGAAACTGGTTTTTTTTTTCGCAGAGGAATGAACGAAGAGTAAAATGTGAGAAGGTGAAGTGGAGGAGATAGAAGGGAGGATTTATTATGAGCCTAGTTTGCTAGCTGGCTAGCCCGGCGCAGAACCCTTTTCGTCTGTTGGCCCGCAGATATATTTCCTTTTTTTTCCGGGTCTATTACATGGGGAAATTTCCAGCCGGTTTTGATCATTGATCTTCTGTTTGGCTGAGTGTTTTTTCGTTGGTATAGTATACCGGAAGGCAGGAGGGAGGGGTATTCCCAGTGATCGGCGAATGCCCCGGGCGAGGCGTGAACACGCCATTACCAGATGGCTGCCATTTTGTTGTCTAGGGCGCGCCTGTGAGGTTTCGGGTCGTGCAACAGTCCGACTTCTCCAAATACTTGATGGCGGGCGGCATTGAGAATTTCCGGACTGCGGTTGGTCCGTCGAAGCGGGCGCTATGCCGTGCGGCCGTGTGACACTCGAAGACATGACCGCCACCACTACTGACAGGGGAAATAGATTTTCAACCGCTGGGCAGCGGGAGAACATCCAGAGGACAGGGCTATCCGATGTAACTCTTGCACTCAGGCCAGGTTCTTGCACTAGACACTACTCCCGGGCCGGGAATAAAACAAGATAGCTTCAGGATCAAGACCGGCATATCCCAAGCCAGATTTGAGCAAAGAATCTTACAGAAAACCGGGCCGTTCAAGATTAACCGGAAGGGGGACCCGAATCTATGGTAACCTAGGCTAAGCGGCGGGAACAATGCGGGGATATTTGGTTTGTGAGTAACCCCAATTCAAAACTCTTACTGCTTTCCGTATTCGGTAGCGTAGATTTGGGAGGCTGTAATGCAGCTTTAGTGGATTATTGGTTTAATATACGATCGGCAGGTTGGAGACAAATAAAGGGCAGTGGGATTTTCCACCGGAAACCATGTTCACGGCCTAGCAACTAGGCGAGTAAAGCAACCCAAACCAAATCTTCTTCCATGCGGGAAATAATACCCTAGGGGTTCCTTTCCGACTCTTTGGAACTTTATATCTAAACTAATTGAAGAAGCGTCAAGAGAACAATGGTTGGCGCATTCCCTGCCGATCTTGTATTATATGATGGCCCAGCGTGGCGCTTTTTTCCTTGAAGCTTTAGCTCTGTAATATTGTTTGCTAAAGTAACTTAACCAACAATTCATTAATGATCCGTGGGCCCTTGGGGAGATCTTCGAGAGGATTTTGGATCTTGCTCTAGATTTTTCGACTTTTTTATAGCCTTAGAATGTATTGAGCGGGGTAGCTCGTGACTGCTTGGGCCGTGAGTTGCCATCCCCCTCATCTTCCTCGCCACCAGCCTCGTATGATAGAACAACAGAGAGGAGCCCCCAAGTCGCATGATGGTTCTTGACATTTGACAGCCAGAGAGCCCGCATACCAAGATTGACCCCTCTAGAGCCTTATAATTTATTGGTAGTTATAAAACATCAGTTGATACACTGATCCGACTGCGGCAGCTGGAAGAGGCTTTTACGCTATGATACTGCCCTCCGACGATAGTGTGATCAACAGACTATCACCAGGGCAACGACATTAGTCTCTCCATGTGCGCAGACGCTCCGCGGCTCAACTTTGCACAGTCTTCAGAGTAGCCGGTGAATGAGGCGGTTGTGGTGAGCCCTTTGTTTACGTTATGACTAGTTTTCCTCAACGTTGCGGAAAATCTGCAGTCCATACCGTAATCTGGGTGGCCAAGATCAAATGTAGAGGGGTCATGCATTTTAGTCACGGGCTAACGGGGATGTCAATATTTTTTCCAACCGTCATCAGTAGAATACCGTGGGAACACGGCCAGCAAGTCTTTCTTGCAATAGACCTATTCTGTTCAACTTGGCTTGCGTTGGTGTACCACCGTACCAACATTTTGCCCGAGAAATGCCTACGGGTTATTATCCCTGTCATATTTCTGTACCTGTATTAGTCCTTCTACCCGCACTGTACTGTACTACTATGACTAAATGCCTGACCCTTGTCCTGTATGAGTACAGTACCATGCACTACAGTACCTAAGTACTCGTACACCTGCGCAGGAAAGTACCGTACAGACCTAAAACACCACCAACCAACAAAAAACACAACCATAAATTTGAAATCAACAGAAGCGCATTCGGTGCCCAGGACTTGGCACGTGGCAGAATTATTCACATAACAGAATGCGTGGTCCAACAATCTAGTCATTGTTTGATCTTCATGTATCATAGATCTACCCCTATGCTAGGCTTTCGGTTAATATCGGCTACCTGAAAAACAATACTTTTGAATAAAACAGCATTGGGGAGGGGGGAAGGGACAGCGAACATAAGGCTCGGCGAACGATGTGATATGATATGATGTGACACACCAAATCATCCTATGGAAATGTCAAAGTTGGTAGGGCTGTTCCCTGTTGATTGTCCACTCCACTATATGATACATGCCTGTGACTTAAGCACGGTTCGGCCTTAGAACCGTCTGAACAAAAGTTGTCTATTTTGCCGGTTGAAGCTTCCCCTAATTTTCGGACCTCCTCCGGCAGGGCAACGCGCCAAGGATGCACCCCTGCTCTAGGCAGATTGCTGTAGCCTATTGTAGCGGCGGTGGTTTTTAATTCCCCGGTTTTGGCAGATTTAGCTGTGAGGGGACTGCTGCAGTACTTGGTGCAGCGAGGTCCCACTCTAGTACCGGGACCTCATATTTAGAGTCTAGAACGCTGAGTTTATGTTAGAGGGACTAACTTCTTTGAAACTATGATTCAATCTAGGCGTATGAGTAGCCAGCGCCCGTAGCTAATTGGTACAAGCAGTATTCTCCTTGCCGGGTTTGAAGTGTCTCAACGAATGTGACGGCATGATGGAAAGTGTAGAACTTGATTGCCTCACTATTCAGAGAATGTGGGTATACCGGTCCCTGGCCATGGGTACCTGAAAGCAGGGTATTATACAAGGATACTTTGTACAGTACGTGCGTTCAGATACGCTCAGATGTTTTACCATACATTTTTTCATCCCTGTCTCTGGGCACTTTTGGCCGGGGATGAATACTGTCCGGTGTGCGCTGTGATGCATCAACTGGTAGAGCCACTGCCCTTTCACCCACAGCCTAACATTACACTTTGTCCTTGGTTGCCGGAAGGGGACTCTCACCGCCGGCCAAAGATGCAACAACCCTGAAATGACATGTGAAACGTAAGCAGGCAGGAGAAAAATTCACACCCAAGACGCTGGAGTGGATTGAAACACTGACTACTTGTACAAAGACACTACCTCTATGTTGTGCTGTCCTCCGAATAAACAAAAATAAAAAAATAAACAAAGTGCGTGTCATTGGGGACTTCTGTTATGGCCGTTGCCCTATTCCTACAGCCCAATATGATACTGCGCTTTCTTTCTTACTATGATGGGGAGTGGACACGCATCGCCCACCAAAGCATTACGACTATGGAAGGTTGGGTGGAATGCAAGCAAGGCAGAAGGAGGTGGGTTTGCGTGTAAACAGCTGAATGAGAAAAAGCACTTCCGGGAGCAAAAGCACTACCGTACTGTGAGCAATACTCTACAGGGGTCAAACTCCCCGGCCCGCCGGTCTCTGCCAGTGTACTAGCTCTCTACTGCATTATACTCCATTGGTATACCAAAATACATCTGGGAGCATCTTTCTCAACAAATTTCGCCCCTAAACATGGACAGGTGGGGGATTATTTCCTGAAGGAGTCTGGAACAGACAAACTAAAGAGAGTGACTCGCGATGGATTTTGGAGCACCATACTACTTTTACCCCCCCCCCCCCCCCCCCAGGAGGCACGCACTGTGTACGGAGTATAAAAGGCAAAATCCCCATTTGACTACAGTTCTGTGGAAAGTATTAGAGAATTGTGTTCCTCAAGAATTCTAGTGAGCATTGCAGATATTTCAACAAGCTTTAAACCCTCGGAGACTCCCTGTATGAAATAGTGACGCCTCCCTCGGAGCCTTAGTTCTTGGGAATCTACCACAGAACTAACCACGATGTTGAATTGAATTCCCGATAACTGCCGCTGGAGCTCCCCAACTCGGGTCCACAGGGTTGATATACTTGCACCAACTTTTCCAGCTGTCCTGTGTGTCATCATGAAGCGGGGGGTGATGCTGACGTGGTAATGTACACTCTTAAATGTCTACTACGACTGACGGCCAGCATGGCATACTGATTACCAGGGAGTAACTAGCCCGGTATTATGCAGAGGTGAAGATAGAACATACCATACAGATAGGGTAGATGTTCAGCCTTATTAGATAGAACATAGGGTGATCAAACCATGGCCGATAAGTGACACATACACACAACCAGACTGTATTTCTTAGTCCGGGCCAACACACACCAATACGACTTCACTTTTAAGCCCACTTGAAGCCATGGTTACGTTTCCGCTTCCCGCCACGGGCCCCATTATTTCGGGGACATATGGTTGGTCAATCTGTATTCGGGGTGGTGGGTTGGGGGTGGATGGTGGGTGGATTTTATTGGGATTGCGAGAGGGGAAACCGCGTTGATCTGGGAAGGTGTAGATCGGTTTATGGGAGCTCGTTGGTTGTAGTTTTTGGATTTGTTTTTGGGAGGAGTGGGTTGCGAGACGGGTCTTCCCATAGTAGTATTTTTTTTATTTCTTTGTGGGTGTGTTGGGAGAATAGCTAAATTAGTTTATGCTGGTTCGGAAATATAAAGATAATAATATATTGGATTGAACATTCCATTGCCATCTCATAACCCACCGCTCAGCATCTGAAAGCATATAAATTCTTAAAGGGGGTTCAGTAGATATTGCTGTGGCGTCACTGGTAATTGCTGGGGGACGCCAAACTTACACCAGTACCGGTATGTGCTGTGCAATACTGTGGGTGTTAGTTTAAAGTTATG